AATAAGAAAGCATATTTTCCAATTCATAAGCAATCTTTGTTCATTTTTATACGTTTTTTGCATCTGTGCAATGAAAAGTGCATAATGTCGAGCGGGTGTCTGGGTTTGTGTCTGTGTCTGAACGTGCGTTTATTTTTCATCTCGAAACCTACAAAAGCTGCAAGGCTAGAACTCTGGCAGCTTAGTCTACACGAAAGTAAAGGCCAATATGCCCAAAATGGACGGTCATGCCCACATGATACTCACGTGCGGATACGTGAAAATTTTTGGCGGATAAGTTGCTAACTCGGGAACCAGAAAAGCTAGAAAGCTGGGATTTCAAGGGATGTTTTCTGACAGCCGTGATGGCCAGTCTCACTTCGTTTAATTAGAAGCATCTACAGGAAAAAATAATGCCGTTAGCAACAAATACCTGCGAGGAAACAGTACAAAAAGAGCGTCTTCGCACTGGCAGTTGATGCGCTAGCCAATTATTAATTATGCGTTTTTTGCAGCTATGCAATGCAGAAAATGCATATTGACGAGGGGTTGTCTGTGTGTTAGTGTGTGCGTCTGTCACGGTTTTTAATCTCAAGACCTAAAAAATCTACAGAACTGAAACTTTAGGAACTTAATCTACATGCACATACGGGCACAAATCCCAAAAATGGGCGCCATTACCCGCGTGGTACCCGCGAACGAGCCCGCCAAAATTTTTTTCGGGCAAGTGCATAACTCGGGGACCTGAGAAGCTAGAAAGCTGAAATCTTACAGGGATGTTCCCCATTCAAGTGGGTATTAGTGAGCTCAAACCAAGACCGCGGGTAAACGTGGTACCTGCGTACGAGCCCGCCAAAGTTTTTTAGGGTAAGTTCATAATTCGGGGGTCTGAGTAGCCAGAGGATTGTAATTTTAAGAGGATATACCCCGCCCACTTAAGTTTCATTCAGCTCAAACCCAACTCTCCGGTATGCGTAGTAAACACGCACGGGCCCGTGAAAATTTATTTCCAGTAAGTTGTTAAGTCAGGAGCCAGAGAAGCTAGGAAGCTGAAATTTTAAGGGGGTGTTTTCTGAAAGTTCTGTCGCCCAGTCTTAATTTGTTTAGCTAGAAGCATCTGCCGAAAAAGCCGGTTCCGGTAGCAACAAAAACTGCGGGGAACTATGCAAAAAACGCATTTTCGCAGGGTTAGCCCGTGCGTTGACCAATTATTTTATTTGAGAGGTAAAAAAATGCGAAATTCTGCATACAAGGAACAACACAGGTTTGGCTTTTGCACAAACAGATAATCGCTTTCAAGAAAATTCAACTCGCCCTGGCATCAAACCTATCCCATCCCTCTCATGACACAAATTCGGAGACCTGAAGGTGGTCATGTCAAATTTCTTTACCTCTAGCAGTATATTTTTGCTACATCTGCATTTACTTGACATTTTTATATGTTTTTTGCAGCTACACAATGCAGAAAACACATATTGACGATTTTATGGGGATGTTCTCCGTCCAAGTGGGCATTAATGAGCTCAAAACCGGCCTTCGGGTAAACGTGGTGCGCGCGTACGAGCTCGCCAAAATTTTTTTCGTGTAAGTTCATAACTCGGGGATCTGGGATGCTAGAAAGCTGAGATCTTAGAGGGACGTTTCCCGTCCAAGTGAGTATTAACGAGCTCAAACCCTGCCCGTGGGTAAGCGTAGTACCTACGTACGGGCCCGTGAATGTTTCTATCGGGTAAGTTGCTAACTCGGGAACGTGAGAAACTAGAAGACTGGAATTTTGAAGGGATATTTCCTGACAGTCCTGGCAGTTAGTCTGAAATTCTTTTAGCTAGAAGCATTTGCCGGAAAAACTAGTGCCGTTAGCGACAAAAACCTGCGGGGATCTATGCAAAAAACGCATCTTCGCACGAGCCTCCCGTGCGCTGGCCAATTTTTTATCTAGATGGCTGTGTTTTGTAGCATCGCTATCTTGCAGGTCGACTTCATTGATTACTTAATATAAGTTTAACTGGGATACAGATAAGAGATTAATAAACACTGCTGACTCCCATCAAAATTATCTAGCAGCGAAATGGGTTGTAGTAAGTCCCCCTTGCTCACAATAAACTTCATGGCTGTTGGAAAATTTTCGCTACGGCAGCCCGTCTGAATGATAGCGATCCGAAATGTCATCTTTTCGTTTTTCAAACAACGCTGATGTAAAATGAGTCGCTAACAGCCTTGACAGGAGATCACTGCCCCCAGTAGAAATGCTCTCACAAAAGCGACCGACTGCATGTGTCTTCCGCCTTGAATTTGTCAAAAAAGTATAACTGGCCAGCACACCGACTGCTCATGCGAAGATGCATTTTATGTACAATTCCTCACAGGTTTTTGTCATTAATGGCAATGTTTCTTCTGGCACGTGCTTTTATCTAAAAGAATTGAGACTGGCCATCAGGACTGTCAAAAAACATCCCCTTAAAACTTCAGCGTTCTGGCTTCTCCGACTTCCAAATTAGCAGCTCACCCGCCAGAAATTTTCACGGAGCCGCACGTGGGAAACACTCACACCTGCGGGCTGAATTTGAAGTCATTGTACAGGGGATATCTTCTTAAGATTTCAGCTTTCTAGCTTTTCTGGTTCTCGAGTTAGCAGCTTATCTGCCAAAAACCTTCACGGGTCCGTATGTGTAAACTATATGGGCAAGAGCGTGCATTTTGGGATAGGGGCCTGAACATGTGCGTAAATTAAGTCCCCAAAATTTCAGCCTTGTAACCTTTGTAGGTCTTCAGACGAAAACTCAATACAGACGCAGACACACGCACACACACACAGCCAACCCTCTCAACAATATGCTTTTTATGCATTTTTTGCAGCTATGCAGTGCAAAAACG